AAAAAAAAAAAAACAAACAAAAAATTAAATAAAAACACATACACACAACTTGCATATGCAGCTGAGCAGCCGAACAAGGCCACGCCCACTGGCCGCCTTTGCCGTACTGCGGCCATTGATGGCGGTGACGCAGACGCCGACACGATTGCTGGCTATGACGTCAAAGCCATTAAAGCAAATGATGCCAGAGATGACGATGATGATGATGATGATGACGATGATGCTGCAGCTGAACGATGGCGACCAACTGTGCTAAATGCAACAACTGTCGCACTGCCAGAAAGAAAACAAAACCAAACAACAACAGCAAAACATCAAAACAACATAAAATATACAACAACAACAGCAACAACAGCAACAACAACCAGAGCAACGAGTCTTGAGAAGGCGCCACGCGCTAGCCTTTTGAATATAATGCAGCCACGGCTATCATTGAACGGCATGCTCAATCCACCATATCCATCGCTGATGCCATCACCGCGTCCTCTGTACCGTGATCATAGCTCCAGGTCCATCAATCCGCTGACTGCCTACGAGCAGCAAATGGCGGAGCTCGATGGCAGTTTCTATGGCAGCAATGCGGGTTATTTGGGCGGCAGTGCCGGTGGTGGCACCACTTGCACCAATCTGACTGCGGCTGGTGCTAATACAGGCGGTGGTGGTGGTAGTGGAGGTGCTGGTGGTGGTGTTGGTATAGGTGGTGGTGCCAGTGGCACACAAAGTAGTGGTGGTGGTGTTGGTGGTGGTGGTGGTGGTAGTGGTGGTGCCTTTCATACAACTGAACTTTCAATAACACCAACAATGGCAGCCGATGAGCAGTTCATTGATTTGGGTAGCCTGCGTCGCTTCTCAATCGATCGACAGAGCTTTCTGGGTAAGGCTGAAACAGCGTCTGCATGTGTGTGTATATTCCCGCTCTGAAACCTTTAACCTTTCACTATATATCTATAATTTAAATTAAATTTCTCTCTCTCTCTCTCTCTGTCTCTCTCTCTCTTTCTCGTTCTTTCGCCCTCTCGAATTGCAGATCTAGGCCCCAAGTTTGGCATGTCCCAGCCGAAATTCGGTCAGAGCGTCTCGCAACAAGGTTTCTTTACGTCGCATGACAGCCTGGCCACACCATGTGCATCCAGAGCATCGAACTCGCATATGGCCAACGTAAGCACTGCCTCCGAAATGGATTTACTGCACAACAACAAGCAACGCCCCAACAACAACAAGTCGCGCGGACGCCTGAAAACAATTGGCGGCGATCAGCCACTGCTGGGCACCTGGAATCGATCCACAGGCCGCGGCTCGCAGGATAACACGCTAGGTGGCGGCGGTGCTGGCAGTGCTGCTGCTGGCGGTGGTGCCACCAACATGCTCATGGGCCACACACAATATGGCGGCAACTACTGCAATGGCACAGATCGGTAAGTAACGGCATCTAACTCTGCTAGAAGTCGACGTTAGTGTGTGCTTCTCTCGCATTTACAGCTACCCGCGCTCACGTTCGCAACAGCACCACAATGCCGGTCAAGCAACGCACCACCCATACCAGCTGCAGCACTCGGCCTCCACGGTATCGCACCACCCGCATGCGCATGGCCAATCCGCACAAGGCGGTCCCGGTCCACCTCACGGCGGCCATCCACACCATCAGTCACATGGTGGYATTGGTGGTGGTGGTGGTGCTGGTGGCAGCGCTGGCGGCGGCCACTCAACCCAGCCGCACCACCAGAAACCGCATCGTACTGCCTCGCAGCGCATTCGCGCCGCCACAGCTGCCCGCAAGCTGCACTTCGTGTTCGATCCGGCGGGGCGGCTCTGCTACTATTGGTCCATGGTGGTTTCCATGGCCTTTTTGTACAATTTTTGGGTGATAATTTACCGCTTCGCCTTTCAGGAGATCAATCGTCGCACCATTGCCGTTTGGTTCTGCCTGGACTATCTGTCCGATTTTCTCTATCTCATTGACATATTCTTTCACTTTCGCACCGGCTATCTGGAGGATGGGGTCCTTCAAACGGATGCACTGAAGCTGCGCACTCACTACATGAACTCGACGATCTTTTACATCGATTGCCTGTGCCTGCTGCCGTTGGACTTTTTGTATTTATCGATTGGCTTCAATTCGATACTGCGCAGCTTTCGTCTGGTGAAGATTTATCGATTTTGGGCCTTCATGGATCGCACCGAACGGCACACAAACTATCCAAATCTGTTTCGATCGACGGCCCTAATACACTATCTGCTTGTGATATTCCATTGGAACGGCTGCCTCTACCACATCATACACAAGAACAATGGCTTCGGCTCACGCAACTGGGTCTACCACGACTCCGAGTCGGCGGATGTGGTCAAACAGTATCTGCAGAGCTACTACTGGTGCACACTGGCATTGACCACCATCGGGGATCTGCCCAAGCCCCGCTCGAAGGGAGAGTACGTCTTTGTGATATTGCAATTGCTATTCGGCCTGATGCTATTCGCCACGGTTCTGGGACATGTGGCAAATATTGTGACGTCAGTGAGTGCGGCGCGCAAGGAATTTCAGGGTGAGTGTGATGCAAATTATTGAACTATAAATATAAATATATAAA